GAGGCTGGGCCGGCCTTGTTTGAGTTACGGGCAGGGTGACCCACGGGTCCGCAGGCAGCAGCGCAGCGGCAGTGGCACTTGAGGCTTCTCGCAGCGGCAGTGGCACTTGAGGCTTCTCTTATTGGAATGGACGGCAGGCCTAGGGACAACACGGCCGGGCGGCTGGCCCGCCAGCAGCACAGCGGCGCCACCCCAGGGGCTAGGGGCTTGCGATGTGAAAGGGCAACTTGGGCGCTGCTGGCATGCTGCCGCTGCATGTGAGGGGGGCGCTGCGTCGGGCGGTGGGAGGGCTTGGCGAGTTGCGGGAAGGCCCGAAGTGCGGCGGGATTGCCGGCTGGGCCGGCCTTGTTTGAGGCATGGGTTCGCAGGCAGCAGCGCAGCGGCAGCGGCGGAAGGGGGTTAGCGGGGAAGGGGCTAGGGGCTTGCACGGCTCGGAAGCCGGGGCTAGGGGGGTAGGGGCTAGGGGCTTGCACGGCTCGGAAGGGGGGTAGGGGGGTAGGGGCTAGGGGCTTGCACGGCTCGGAAGGGGGCTAGGGGGGTAGGGGCTAGGGGCTTGCACGGCTCGGAAGGTGCTAGGGGGAGTTGCCATTTTTCGTTTGTGAGGTAATGTTGTTTTACGGTACCGTGCTGAACGGCATGAACCCAGGTGTGAATAGTTCTGCAAAGCGCGGCCTGGTGAGGAAGTTTGGGGAAGAAGTTTGGAAATTTGGCTTGTCATCAAAAGCCAATATCTTCCTGGCGCCGCAGCATTTTCAGGCGCCGTTTGCTGCTTATTAATGCAGGCTCTATGGCAATGATATTTGCCTAAATGGCGGTAGGTTGAACGCCTCCTATGCAAAAGCACGCGAGAGGTAGGGCCTTCCTCCCTAGGCCCTTCCCCCCTAGCCCTGTTCCCGTTTGGCGCCGGCTGCAAGGCTTGGGGGGCGGGCGGTTGCGTCTGATAGCCCTGTAGGCGCAGGTGCTAGAAGGCGGCAAGCAGCAGGAAAGCGGCAAAAGGCGGGCGAATGCGGGCAGGAAGAAGGAATCTGCTCCCGACAGGAATCGAGCAGGGGTGTCACATCTAGCCGAGCTGTCGACGTCAGCCCCCCTCAGCCGAGGGCTGAGGGTGTCAGCACGTCAGCCCCCCTCAGCCGAGGGCTGAGGGTGTCAGCATGATGCCTGGGCCTATGGGGATGGTGTTCTGGGAGATCTCGAGTACGACAACACACTGTACGGCAGCAAACTGTACGGCACAGTTGCCATGCTGTTTGGTGACGCATCATGTGGTGTACGACATGTACGACAATGTACGACAGCTGTACGGCAGTGTAGGACAGCGTACGACAACTGTCGTACGCTTGTACGGCATCTGTACGGCATGGGTTTTGACACGCCCTCCCACCCCCCTCCGTGCTCCCCACTCCCCTCATCACCCCCTCATCACTCATCATGCCTGGCATCATCAGGATGGTGTCCTGAGATGTGGTGTCGTACGGCAACGCAGTACGGCATGGGTTTCGACACGCCCTCCCACCCCCCTCCATGCTCCCCACTCCCCTCACCACCCCCTCGCTGCCTTAGCTCCTCTGACCACCCCTGTCGTACAGCGACATGGTACGGCATGGCTTTGGGCACCGCGTACCACCAATCTTCTTGTTGCAATATCTTGCATTGTGATCTCGACTAAGCTATAACTGAGTTAATGAGCCATTCGCAGTTTCTTGGTTACTTTCCAAAATCAGCGTCAAACTGTTTGGTGACCGTGACCACCCCCATCCATGCTCCCCACTCCCCTCACCACCCCCTCGTCGCTCTTGCTCATCTGACCACCCCTGTCGTACAGCGACACGGTACGGCATGGCTTCGGGCACCACGTATCACCAATCTTCTTGTTGCAATATCTTGCATTGTGATGTCGACTAAGCTATAACTAAGTTAATGAGCCATTCGCAGTTTCTTGGTTACTTTCCAAAATCAGCGTAAAACTGTTTGTTGACCGTGACCACCCCCTCCATACTCCCCACTCCCCTCACCACCCCTTCCTCGCTCCAGCTACTCTGAACACCCCTGTCGTACAGTGACACGGTACGGCATGGGTTTGGGCACCGTGTGTCGCCGGTCTCCTTGTTGTGATGTCTTGCATTGTAATGTCGATTAAGCTATAACTGATTCAATGAGCCATTCGCAGTTTCTTGGTTACTTTCAGAAATCGGCGTAAAACTGTTTCGGCGACGGATATGGCTTCGGCAAAAGTAAATCGGCGCAAGTTGCAAGCTGGTTTCGGCAAGAAGCGTGGTTGTGAAGTCGGCGTGTCTCCTGAAAAGCGCCGATTTCTGATCGCCGAAAACTATGGTTGATCGGCGATCGCTGATCGGCGAATGCTGTCAGGGGTGGTCGCCGTGAAAGCTTCTTAGATTTCGGCGCAATTAGCCTGGCATCGGCAAAAGTCTTTCGGCGCAATTTGCAAGCTGGTTTCGGCGACAAGCACGTTCGTTAAGTCGGCGCATTTCCTGAAAAGCGCCGATTACTGATCGCCGAAAACTATGGTTGATTCGGCGATCACTGACCTGCGGGTCAGGTAAGCGACCCGCGGGTCTATCATGTCATGACTTGGCGTGAACGTTCTCCTTTCTGAAACGTATGGATCGGTCGCCCGGGACTGCTTGGACATGTACGGCCAAGCCTGCCCGGCGAGCGAATTCAGCTTTTCAGATCTCTTTAACTGTGTAATATGCTATAAAAGTGTAGAATACAGCATGAACAATCATCATGGCTATTGCTTTGGTTGATAATCCCAGTGAGACTTGTGCTTCGGGCGGTCGTTTCTTGGTCTGTAGGCTGTCTTTGGCAGCAGGTCTTGGGCGCCTTTTAACTAGTGCACAACTGGCGCTTGGAGTGCCCAACCCCTGTTGCCTTGCCTCTCACTTGGAAGCTTTGTTGTTTTGCAAGCAGTTATTACCGTCTGAAGTGTTGTGAACACTATCTAGTCAATCATCAATCCGTGGCCATTACTGTGTAACGCTTGGGCGTGTTGTGTTCCTACGTTGGCTCGCCCCTTTATGGGGCGTAGTCTTAGCGTTCGGTCCTAATTGTCCAGACCGAGACCTTTTGTCCTTTTTGTACCGTGAACAGTCCTATGCAAATGCGGTTCATTAGGATAGTATGTGGTAAACAGGATGTCTTGGGATAAGCCTGTCCTAGTGGGAACATCGCGCTAACAATGCATTTCGTTTACTTGTGGTCCCCGCTCGTCAACAGGTCACTTCAGCTCAACAGAGGAGCTGGTGCAGTACCTGGACAACATTCGCAGCGGCGCTACTATCTTTGACTCTGAGGCGGAGTTCAACATGACCTTCCCGCCTCCTCCTTGTAAACTCGTCGGCTGGACTGGAGGACCCGAGGGGTGCCGCATTTACACGTTCTCTGTCGAGCTTTGTGATTTCATTGGTGATGCACAGGCGCGGACGGTGCACGCGCCTCTGGCGTCCCATGACAAACCGCTCGGGGCAACGCGGATTCAGGCCACGGCAACCGTGATGGTATCGGCGATGGGCGTGGGCCCGCACGCATCAAGGACTACAACCCTAGCGAGACCAGGGGGAAAGGTTCCGTCAACTCCAGCAAGCCTGGGCGCTTCCGGCAACTGTCGAACAAGGACCGAGAGTACGCAGGGCTGTTCGACACCATCATGGTAGCTTGCTCAGGTGTGTACCGTTCTGTCGGGATTCCGTATGCGGATAATCATCATAGCCATGTGTTGTTGCGTGCTGTAAATGCCCATGGCTTGTGTATGATTGGGTACTGGAAATGCCCTCGACAAATGTCTTTTGCGATTTGTGTTCCTGCCACAGGCATGGCGCAGAAGGAGATGCTCATGTCAGGGTCAAGCTACCCTCACGAGCTGGCGAAGAAGTAAGGTGTGCATCAGACGCACTACAAAAAGAAAGTGCTCCCGAAGCTGGCCGCCGACGACAAGGAAAGGAGAAAGCTTATCCCGGATCGGGTGACCGGCCCAAAGATGCTGCTGCGGGACATGCGCAAGTAAGTAAGGTGACATGCATAGAGCCCCAACACATCGGGTTAATAGATTACTTGGTTTGCGGATCATGTTACTGCCTGGTAGATGCCACCTAAACGTATTACCGTGCATGTATAGCGGTTGATGTGTTGTTCATTGAAGTTGCCAGCGCCTCTAGTCCGCCTCTGACCTGCCTCTCACCCGCCTCGCACCCACAGCAAGCCCGCGGAGATGTACAGCTCTGCGACGAGGAAGGAGATCGAACCCGCGAAGCTCGCCAGCAAGATTGCAGCGGCGAAGGTCCGTATCGCGGCGTGGGAAGAGCGGTGGCTGGCGGCCTTGCAGCGTGATCACGAGGTGATGGTGAAGTACCGTTACGAGTACGACCCGATGCTGGAGGGCGAGCTCAAGGCGGCCTTGGAGGAGTACGAAGAGGACGGCAAGGAGCTACGGTAAGGACATTGTTTTGTGGGGTAAGATGCGGAAGGAGGTGCCTTTACTACAGCCAGCAGTCCCTTGTTGTCGCCATGCAACTTACTGCTTCAATGCACAGCATTAAACCTTGTCTCACTTCATGACCTGCCGTCAATTCCTTGTTGTACAGGATCCATCTCCAGGTCGGGCTGGCCGACAGCTTCTACCGTGCGATCCAGGTGCTCGAGTCCGCGGGGGTGAAGGTGGACGAAGACACGAAGCGCCATTACCCCAAGTGTAAGTAAGTGGGTGCTTCTTGACATTCGGTTTACGGATTAGGCGGAGGAGGGCATGAACTGCCTTGTGTGCGTTGTCGCTTAGTTAACGTGTCTTGTAGTGTTATGTCATCTCATTCGTTTCTTGCCTACCCATTTCTTGATCGTAGGGTCCACGGAGGACCAGGAGGGGCGGCAGCAGCAGGAGGGGCACAGGGAGCGGCAGGAGCGGCGGCAGGAGCTGCGGCAGGAGCTGCGGCAGGAGCAGGATGGGCGCAAGGAGCGGCGTGAGCGCGAGCAGCAGCAGCAGGAGGAGCGCAGGGATCGGCAGGGGCGCGCTGGGGGTGGTGGGGGGCTGGGCAGGATTGCCGAGGTCGAGGAGGATTTGGATGAGGAGGAGGAGGCTGTCGGGAAGGGGACTGGTGGAGTGCTGGGTGACCGGCAGACCCCCTTGCCCGAGATTAGCGAGAGTGGCAGTAGCCAGGATGGGGGGAAGGACCAGAAGCGACCAAACAGCAAGAACGCCTCGGTTAGCAAGGTAAAACGCGTAAAGGGGGCTGTGGGAGGAGGGTCTCGGGGCGGAAAAGAGAACGCCCGTGGCAAGTCGGACCACGGTTCGAAGAGGCGGCGGAGGTAGTTCGGCATTTTTGCAGTAGGGGCTGATCTATATCAAACCTCCTAACATGATGTATGGTGCGTGGCCTGTGGTTTTCATGCATCCATGCGCTGCTGTGTTGCTTGCTTGGGTGATCTTAGCGGGTTGAGCTTGGTATTTACAATGACCATCGACTGCGGCCGTACGTGTATGACAGAAGCAGGGCAGGTACTTTATTAAACGGATGGACGCGAACTAGAACAGGTATTCGTGGCAGTTACGTGTGGCTATTGCGTTGGTGTGGCTATTGCGGCATGAGCAGTGTTGGGAGCGACGTGATGTGCTTGGAAAGCGTATCACAATTGAGTTGCGACACTTGAGGCGCTGTTGAGTTTGGTTGACCGGTTATTGAGTCCGCTATTGAGGCGTACGTTTGAGCAACGGTTGAGTTTGGTTGACCCGTTATTGAGTACGATAATGAGGCGTTCGTTTGAGCTACGGTTGAGTTTGGTTGACCGGTTATTGAGTACGATGTTGAGGAGTCCTATTGAGCGAGGGTTCAATTTGGTTGACCCGTAATTGAGTCTGCTATTGAGTCTACATTGAGTCGCCTAATTGAGCATGTAATCTCAATATGACATCTCAACAATTCCGGTCACTTTGTTAAATCTGGGACTCAATAAGGGGGTCAATTACACTCAATCTAACTCAATCTAACCCTTTCTGGGAGTGCCAAAGGCATTGGCATCGTGCTTGAGATCATTCCGGAGTGCATCACGCAGCATGCAGCCTTGGAATGCCGCCTAAAAGAGAGGGCCTTACGTGGCGTACCGGGCCCTTTACCTTTAATAGGACGATGCTTTCGAATAGTAGACATCAGGGAGTTTGGTCTAGTGGTATGATTCTCGCTTAGGGTGCGAGAGGTCGTGGGTTCAATTCCCGCAACTCCCCTGCCGTTTGGGTCTCTAGCTCAGTGGTAGAGCAGCTGACTGCAGATCAGCAGGTCTCCGGTTCGATCCCGGAGGGGCCCTTTTGCGCTTTTGCCAAGTCGTACATGTCGCCGTACATGTCACTGGACACTCTTCCAGGTGTCCCGGAATGTCGGACTATATAAAGCAGCTGCAAGGGGCATTTGACGGGTGGTACAAGCAAGGGGCCCATCCAGCTGCTTTGAAGCAACCATCACCAGCAGCCACCAACAGGCTGACTCACCTCACCTGCTGTGTCCCGCACCCACATCAGTTAAGCAGTTTAGTATGTATGGTTTGGGTCCATCCTACCTGTGCGTGCTTGTGGCCATTTTACCTGTTTCTATTGCCTGGGTGTGTGGAGCCCCGGCCATGAGGTGGCTTTAAAGAAGTGATGCTCCTTTGGATGATAACCCACATCTGCCGTGTGTACCATCCAGCAGGAAGGTGTCCAAATGTAACTGCAAAACATGCAAACCATACCCACCTAAAGCATGCCGAAAGGAGTAACTAGTGCCCAACTGGCGCTTGGAGTGCCCAACCCCTGTTGCCTTGCCTCTCACCTTGGAAGCTTTGTTGTTTTGCAAGCAGTTATTACCTTCTGAAGTGTAGTGAACACTATCTAGTCAATCATCAATCAGTGGCCATTACTGTGTAACGCTTGGCGTGTTGTGTTATTACGTTTTACTTTTTTATATCCCACCTGCCCGGCCTTTTCGACTGTCTTGGAGTTATTGCCTCTGTGTGTTGCCCATGCTTGGGCTAAGGATAGATTATAAATAGGAGCATGGCCACCCAGACTATGGTGAAAACAGGTGACGGGGCATGTTGCTTGCTCGCTGCTGCATCCCCGCTTGCACAATCGACATTCACACAGCTACATACATCCTCTCGCCTACATTGTCCAGGCGCGGTAATACACCCTGCTTGGCCAGGGGTAGGAAACCACTACCTCGCTCTGAAACATGCGTCCGCCTTCCCTTGAGTCGTCAGACAGACCATTGCCAAAGCCTAACCAAAACCTGTGTTGAGGCCTGGCACACGCGCCACTACGAAAGCATATAAAAATGACATCTTGACCAGGCAGTGACAAGGACCAGGCGCCTTGGCCATACCTTGGCTAGGGAGTGAAACACTATTAGTTGGCTCGCCCCGACTAGGGGTGTAGTCTTAGCGTTCACTAAAAATAGTCCGGGCCAAGGCGTTATGTCCTTTTTGTACCGTGCACGTGTCTTTTGTTTTGTCCTTGTACATTTGGTATGTACCTGCACCGAGGTCGCAGATTCGGTTGGACAAGGTGGCGTTGTATTCCTTGTTGTGATTTTAGTATAATGACATGTCGGAAAAGAGAGAGGCACAGAGGTAACAGAACTACTCAAATGTCGTACATATTGGCAGAAACAAAGTGCTGTTGGCAGGTTTGTCTCTGTGATTCTTAATCTAAACGGTTTCCGCAACCAAGCGTAGCAATTGTGGAAACTGTGGTTTCCTGCGTTCGTACAGCAAAGTGGTTGGGTTGGTCGTACGGTTGTACGACAGCGTGAGCAGTGTCTAAGGGAACACGGTTGCGTTGAGTTAGTACTTTCGCGAGATTGTTCGTCAGATCTGACACCGCCGTGTCACGTCGCACCATACTACGAGGTCACTGGTGCATGTTACACGGTGGACCAACACTCACTGCCCATCCCCTTCGGAAGAACCTCTTTCTCTGCTTGCAGGTACCCAAAAGCATCGTCGGACGCAATGCTGGAAACTCCATAGAAATGGCATTGTAATGTTGTAAACCTTTTACTAACTAACATTTAGCCCGTCAAGTCAAGGCGAACTTGCCTCTTGTTGTGCATACCTCAAGGCTATCATGCCTCTTGCAATGAACTGATAAGGTATAATGTAAAAGGCTTTGTTGTATATCAATATGAACAGCTTAGCAAAGGCTGCCGCTGCTGTGGCGGCCGCGGAGCCACAAAGTTGGCATCGTCTCGCTACATCCACATTTACATTTGATACATCATTTCGTTCGTTTAACGGCCACCGCTGAAAAGTGGATCGCACAACGTATTCCATGTGTCCCTTGCCCAACATGGCCTTCGCCGCAAGCATGTGGACTATCGCTCTGGCGATTGTTTCTTTCGTCCCTTTCGTTGGTAGTTCTTCCAGCAAGGCGGAATGGTTGTATCAGCAGTGTGTCAAGCTGGGATTGGCGAATTTTGCCGGTGTTATGGCGTTTTTGCGCGCTCGCACGAGTGAGCATGTTGGACCCTGCCACACCGCATGCACAGCTTAGGTATGGTGTTAGCGTGAAGTTCGAAACCGACAATCCACACGTGTCGCTGGCTGCAAATACAGCCACGGCCATAACGAGCCGAGATATGCACGCACCGCTGCATCAGAATGTGCCGCTGTGGCGCGCAACACATGATGTGCAAGGTGGGACAACCTACCCCTCCTTGCTAGCAGGCTGTTTGACTGTGTTCGAATGGCACGTGATAACTGGACACATTGCGCTTGCCTTTTGATGACAGTGGGCCAGCCTAGGTTTTCAAGCATGGCGGACTGTTTTAGCAATGTCCTGTGGGGTGCCTGCATGCATACGTTGGGATAGAGGAGGCTGGTGGTGCAGCTATGGTCTTGCTCTTGACGACCCTTGTTCCCGTTTCCAATAGCTCTATGCACCGCCATACCTCGAGCGAAACACGGGGAAGCAGGGTCACACAGGCATGCCCACGGACCACACTGACGCTTTTACGCATAGCACTAACATATAATACGCATCCCAACTGTACGACCTCCCTCGACTCCGCTAAAAACCAGCCGGCACCGATATGTCCTTGGCAAGACTTGACAGCGAGTTTTGATTTCAAAAAGGGAGCGAGTCCCGGTGTCTGCGAAGCTGACGGGTTTTGACAGCAGTGTGTTGCCAATTGGCTACCTCTAAAGAGTTGGCAGAACCATGCCTGCATCTAATAGGAGCTTAACCCGCTAGACATGTCAACCATTGTCACTGTTTTGCAGAGCATGGTGACCGTAAATCCCCCCGTAACGAAGTGGAGGGGAGGATTGGAGGACAGATCACAATTAAATCATCTCTGTGACCGTAAATCCCCCCGTAACGAAGTGAAGGGGAGGATTGGAGGACAGATCACAATTAAATGATCTCCGTCCGTCTGTCTGTCTGTCTGTCTGTCTGTCTGTCTGTCTGTCTGTCTGTCTGTCTGTCTGTCTGTCTGTCTGTCTGTCTGTCTGTCTGTCTGTCTGTCTGTCTGTCTGTCTGTCTGTCTGTCTGTCTGTCTGTCTGTCTGTCTGTCTGTCTGTCTGTCTGTCTGTCTGTCTGTCTGTCTGTCTGTCTGTCTGTCTGTCTGTCTGTCTGTCTGTCTGTCTGTCTGTCTGTCTGTCTGTCTGTCTGTCTGTCTGTCTGTCTGTCTGTCTGTCTGTCTGTCTGTCTGTCTGTCTGTCTGTCCACAAAAGTGGTGGCAACGACCTTCAGGCGCTAAGCGTTCAGTCCTGTCCTCAGCCAGCCAGAGGTCTCCGGTTCGAGCCGGGTAGCGACCTCTTGGCGACTTCCTTGGCACCCTTGGAGATGATGCCTGGGCTTATGGGGATGGTGTTCTGGGAGATCTCGAGTACGACAACACACTGTACAGCAGCAAACTGTACGGCACAGTTGCCATGCTGTGTGGTGACACATCATGTGGTGTACGACATGTACGACTATGTACGACAGCTGTACGGCATCTGTACGGCATGGGTTTTGACACGCCCTCCCACCCCCCTCCGTGGGTGGATTGGAGGATTGGAGGACAGATCACAATTAAATCATCTCCGTCCGTCTGTCTGTCTGTCTGTCTGTCTGTCTGTCTGTCTGTCTGTCTGTCTGTCTGTCTGTCTGTCTGTCTGTCTGTCTGTCTGTCTGTCTGTCTGTCTGTCTGTCTGTCTGTCTGTCTGTCTGTCTGTCCACAAAAGTCTGTCTGTCTGTCTGTCTGTCTGTCTGTCCACAAAAGTGGTGGCAACGACCTTCAGGCGCTAAGCGTTCAGTCCTGTCCTCAGCCAGCCAGAGGTCTCCGGTTCGAGCCGGGTAGCGACCTCTTGGCGACTTCCTTGGCACCCTTGGAGATGATGCCTGGGCTTATGGGGATGGTGTTCTGGGAGATCTCGAGTACGACAACACACTGTACGGCAGCAAACTGTACGGCACAGTTGCCATGCTGTGTGGTGACACATCATGTGGTGTACGACATGTACGACTATGTACGACAGCTGTACGGCATCTGTACGGCATGGGTTTTGACACGCCCTCCCACCCCCCTCCGTGCTCCCCACTCCCCTCATCACCCCCTCATCACTCATCATGCCTGGCATCATCAGGATGGTGTCCTGAGATGTGGTGTCGTACGGCAACGCAGTACGGCATGGGTTTCGACACACCCTCCCACCCCCCTCCGTGCTCCCCACTCCCTTCATCACCCCCTCATCACTCATCATGCCTGGCATCATCAGGATGGTGTCCTGAGATGTGGTGTCGTACGGCAACGCAGTACGGCATGGGTTTCGACACGCCCTCCCACCCCCCTTCATGCTCCCCACTCCCCTCACCACCCCTTTGTCCCTCCAGCACCTCTGAACGCCCCTGCATCACCATGAGGTGTTCGGCAACACGGTACGGCATGGGTTTCGACACGCCCTCCCACCCCCCTCCCCTCCCCTTCACTTCGTTACGGGGGAGGATTGGAGGACAGATCACAATTAAATCATCTCCGTCTGTCTG